TACATATATTGGATCTGCTTGAGAGGCATTGACCTAATGACGTATCTCGACTTAATGTAGTTACTGAGTGATGAGGCAAATTTTTCGCTAAGCAGTGGCAATTTGTCAATTAAGAAGGATTATTGCTTGCTAAACCCCTTAACAGCCCAACTTGCCTTCATTAATATTTCTATCTTACCAAACATGATGAACAAGCTAAGTATTGAGAATTCTCAAATGGCAAGCAGAGCGAATACCTGGTGACTTCAGCCTGCGGTTTGGTTTGAGGGACCTCCCTCTGGGATACAGGCCCCTGAGCTCTCAGACGACACTGTACTGGCATGAGCTGCATGCAACCCATGTCCACGAACATTAACATTTGTCATGTGCCAGCCTCAATAAATCCTTATGGCACATCTTTGATCCAACTTTGCACTCAATGCAGCACTTCAGGACACATCAGCAAATAGAACTGTAATGCTGCAGCAAGGACACTGCTCAGGGACACATATCCAGCTCAAGGACTTGATCAGGCTGTATCTCTGGCCTGTTCACTTACTGGCATAGTGCTAACTCACTCTGAGCTTATCTGGATGCTCACAGCATCTCTGCCATTAAGTAGCCATTGGTTTTACCCATCATTTCTGCCAAAATTGCCTAACTTCACATTTCTCAGTGTTAAATTACAAAGGAATGAGGGCAGAACTAGCTGAAGTGCACTAAGAAAGGAGTTGAGTAGCAAAGGCAGTTAAGGAACAATGGCATAAGTTTAAGAAAACAGCTTATGACTCACAATAAAGCACAAGCCACAATAAGCCATGGGAGGCAATGGTCTATCGGTATTATCACTGGACAGTTCATCGAGAGACCCCAGTAATGTCCTGGGGACCTGGGTTTGACTCCTACCATAGCAAATGGTGGAATTTAGTAGATTAAATAAATTAACTAAATCTAAGGAAGGAAGCTGATGTCTTTATCTGGTCTGGCCTCCATGTAATTCCAGAGCCACAGCAATGTGGTCGACTCTTAACAGCCCTCTGGGCAATTAAGGTCAATAAATGCTGGTCTGGCCAGTGATGTCCTCATCTCATCAGCTAAAAAAAACTTAATGGAGTTTAGAAGAATGAGAGGCGACTTTATAGAAGAATACAAGATTCTTACAGGACTTGGTAGGATGGATGAGGATGGGTTGTTTCTACCCATTTGGAAGAGCCTAGGACCAGTAGGCATTATCTCAGAGTAAGGGACCATACAGTTAAGACAGAAATGAGAATTTCTTCTCTCAGACCATACTGAATCTGTGGAATTCTTTACAATTCTAGTCAATCAGCTTTCCGAATTAGAATTTAGTTTCCCAGATCCAGGTTCACAGGTTGATTTATTAGTATCCATTGTGATATTTTACTGGTACACAAACAAAAGTATAAAAGCACCTTACTGAGGTAATGAATCGAAAAGCAAGATTCTGTTTTTCAGAATGCAGCATTGTATTAAAGGATTAACGTTTTCTTCAGCATGAAATGCTGAAGCACATTTACTTTGTGTTGGCAAAAATGTTGGTGTTTTTAACTTTGCATGGAAGATGTTAATATCTGCCCAGACATCTCTTGAATCCAGGATAACAAGGTGTAGAGCTGGATGAACACAGCAGGCCAAGCAGCATCAGAGGAGCAGGAAGGCTGACATTTCGGGCCTAGACCCTTCTTCAGAAATGGGGGAGGGGAAGGGGGTTCTGAAATAAATAGGGAGAGAGGGGGAGGCGGATGGAAGATGGATAGAGGAGAAGATAGGTGGAGAGGAGACAGACCGGTCAAAGAGGCGGGGATGGAGCCAGTAAAGGTGAGTGTAGGTGGAGAGGTAGGGAGGAGATAGGTCAGTCCAGGGAGGACGGACAGGTCAAGGGGGCGGGATGAG